AAAATGTATATACACGCACGCATGCACACACACACACACACACACACACACACACACACACACATACACCCAAACACAGTTGTCTTTCAGTATTTAGAAATTTGTTCAAAATCAAATAAATAGTACATTATAGAAGTGAATGCAAAAAATGTATGCACTCCTAAAAAATGTATAGACTTCCTAGAATATTCTTTTATATGCACACATTTGTCGTAACAATGCATCATTTAGAAGGAACTAACATAAAATTGGTTAATCGATGTTTATTTAATTACAGCGGCTGGATTAGTGCCATAGCAGCGATTGGCAAAAACAAAGCGGTGGGTGTCATCATGATGGTGGTGGCGGCCTTCTTCACGGCCACTGCTGCACTGTCGGTCGTTTTACTGAAAATGGTAGGTAGCTCACGATTTCTGAGTGAAAACCTGTGGATCTTTGGTTTGGATTCTTGGGTCATTGGTGCGATTCTTTCCCAGGTTCATTCCCACTACCGTCGCACCGGCGCCAGTTTCCAGAAGGCACAGCAGGAATTCTCCCAAGGCGTCATCACGAACCGCACCTTCCAGACCGCAGCCGCCAACGCAGCCACCACAGCCGCCCAAAGCTCTCTGCAGAGGAACTAGAACCAGAAAGCACCACCGAGATCCTGCATCTCTTCCCTCACTGTCCCAGCGGCCCACACAGAACCCAAAGCCCAGCTCCGCTCACCTGCTTTTGGTTCTGGATCTCGATTTGGACTGCAGAGGCACTACTTTCGTGTTTATTTTTTTGTTTGGAAGCAAAAGGTATGAAGTACATCAGTGTGTTTGTATATTTGTACGAGTGCAGAAATTGTGTCCTGTATCCTTTTTGACCTTGGTTATGCTGTATATAAAGTAATTTAATATTTCCCCGTCGTCCATAGTGGTACAGGAGTCTCTTTAAATTAAAAAAAATTATCATGAAGGATCTCAAAACCTTATATGTGTATGTCATGAGAGTCTAGGGGCTCTATTTATAAAGCGTGCATACGCTCAGATTTGATCTTAGAGTGTGCGTACGCTTAAATCCATGCCAGCGCAAAAACTGTCTTTGACGTGGAAAAGTGCTTAGCGTCACGATTATAGAGTTGTAAATAAAAGCTTTCATTCCTATATCATTTGATTTCCTGAAAACATTCTGCATTCCATATTAGTGCCAAAAAATAATGATATGCGCCCAGAATTCTGTGGAGGCGTGGCCATGTTTGCATAATTAGAATCTTGACAACCTCGGAATCTTGACGGACACAGAGAACATTACTGTTATTGTCTTAATCGTAAGACTGAAGGTGGGATGTAGCTTTTTGCATTGGGTGTGTTTTTTGATAACGGTGTAGAGCAATGTTTTTTCCTCCCATGTGTACGAGCTTATTTTAGGCTACTGATTGTAAACAGTCAAATCAAAATACTTTGATTAGTACTCAGACTTAAATTTACATGGGTGATTTTTCATGGGCTTTAGAAAGCCCTAACTTTTGAAACAAATGTGTAAAATGGTTTGCCATACAAAATGCCACTTTCTGGAAAGGGTTATGTAATTTTGTCAGATGAGATCAGAAAATATTTTTCAACAGTGTGAGTACTTGTTTTTTTGTTTTTTTTAGCAAATTAAATTTTTCTGATTAACAAATTTTGTCCGAGTCCTTTTTATTAATGCAGTGCATTTCGAGCAGAATTCTTAGTTATGTGATCATATCAAACACAAGGAATTTCAGATATCGTTTATTAGGTTGTAGATACACTTAAAAAAAAAAACCGGGAAAACATAGATTGCCCAATTTGCTCAATAATATTAATTGAGAGCTACACAACAGAATAGTTTTTCTTCTAAACTTGACTGATTTCAATAAACGTAGTTCTCTAAAATGTGCAGTCTACTAGTCTAAATTATGTAGGCGAAAGTAGGTTCAACAGCACTTGTTTTGCGGTTGACAACTAACACTGTAGTTCCCAGCATCCTTTTGCATGGAGCTTAAAATATATAGCAAAAATGTTGAAATTACGTATTGTGTTTTTAAGCAAAATGATGGGTGACTTGAGTGTTTAATGTTTAGTTGTTGCTATTTAGAAACCTGCTTTACTCGAGGGCATTTAATGCTTAGTGTTTAGTTTGCCAGTGTGCTGTTGCTAGCTAATAGTTAATTAGCTAATGATACAATATTACAATTTAGCATTGTGACAAAAAATATGAAACCGAATAAATCATAACACATTAAGACCCCTTAATTGGATCACTTAGAAATAACTGAACATGAAGTTACATGAACAAATTATGCTTGCGTAACTTGATTCATGTCGAACTGATGATAAAATTATGTACATTCAACACTTTTTCAGACTTAAGTCCCATGTTCTTTGTTTTTAGCCAGCGGTGTCCCACAGGGCTTTGTATTTGGTCCGGTTTGATTTGTCCATAACTTTTTCATTGATTTATTTGATCTACCTTTTATCCATCAGTGACCTTCTAGATGTCTTAAATGAGCAGAGTACAAAATCAGCATTGATAAAGTAATGAGCAACAATACATTGTAAAATAACTTACAATGAATAATCGTTCCACTTTTCTTCAATGAACGTTGAACCGAAAAGCACAAGTATCTGAAGTATCAAAAAAATGCAAAGATGGTCTTATTCAATAATGTAACAAAATAAACAACAGTTAAATGTCTTTGAAACCAGCCGTTTACTTGTGACATCATTGTTACATAAAATAGGTTCATATTTCACATGGCATCAGCGATTCATTTCAAATCCAAAATATAAAAAGTGCAAATGACAGTTGACGGTACACCGGCCATACAACATGGTTTGGTGTCTTCTTTTTTTCCTTTTTTTTTTTTTAAATCTTCCCCCATTATTGTAAACACAAACAACAACTGTATTCATAAGCAGACCTTGTTACAGCCACATTGACATTCATGACGTGAGAAACTGTACACGAGCAAGGCAGAGTTCGTCGCTGATATTTTCTTTCGCTCATTCTTTGGGAGAAGGGATTGGTTAAACAGCACGGTGAAAACACAACGCAGAATATTTAACCGTTCATAACTTACATGGAAAATGTTTACAAAGCAATGTGTCATCTTCATATAAAAACCAACCGAAAGATGAATATATATATATAAAAATTGTCCTTTTTGAGAGTGTACAAAGTATTCACGTAAGCAAACATTTGCAGTTCATCGTATATATATTTATATACCTCTCAAAGTACAAAAATCTGAGAGTCACTTGGCATTAAACTCCTTCATGATGAATCTCCAGGGCCCCAAAAACAGTCATCAGGGTCCTGAGGAAGAGGAACGTACACGAGGAACCGGTTCATTCGCTCTCTGTTCTCACAATTCTCACGTTTGAGGAGTTTCTGAAGCACCAAACATCAACGTCACTGGATTGGGACTGAATTAAGATGGTCGTAAATGTCTGTCCATGTGGAAATTTCCAATGCATATTCAGACTTTGAATGCTACCGGCGTCTGAGGACAAGTGATTTTGGTTTCTCTCCAGAGATGAAACATTTAAACATGATGTAAGACACTGCAAAAAAAGTCCATGAAACATTCATGAGAATTCATGAGCAAACAGAAATAATTGTAAATTATTTGCAAATTGTTCAATAACTGCTCTTATGTAAATCGTGGCATTCAATTCAAATGCAACAACTAAGATGATGTTACTGACACTGAAAAAATGCCCATTTGACAATTTACGCAATAACGGTTTTCTGAATGCATCATTTATGTGAAAATGGATCCATGTACAAATTTTGGTGTAAATCGTTCATTATGTCAATTTTTGCATTGATTTGAATGCAACAATTTACATAAGAATGGCTTTGCGCATAATTTACACAAAATTATTCTGCTTGCATTTCATGAATGAAGCCCAATGTTTGAGCATGTGAGGTTTCGCCCTAAGAAATAAAAGTCCTAAAATGATCATATACACAATGAAAACACATACAGGCTAAAAATATGGAATACGTAAATACAATCCTCCAAAAAACATTAAAAACACGTTTTCTGTGTTGAACGGTTCATCCGAGTTGAGAAAATGGCATTGAGTTTTCATCGTTTTACAGATTTCTCTGCCATGCAGGATGGAGAAGATGAAGCGGTGATCCGTTTTCAGTCATTCTCGAGGCTGATCTGAGATCAGTGTTCATTCAAATGTCCTGGTTGTTCCTGAGGACGCGGTTCAGCCGTGTGTGATTGCAGCGCTTCAGCCTGTGGTGATGGCGTTCAGGTCCTTCATCAGACCCTCCAGGTGGGCCATTTCCTCTGAGAGTTCATCCGTCTCATACGTCTGAGAGAGAGAGAGAGCCATGCCAGAGGAGCCATGTTAGAGTTAGGATTGAGGGATGCAGCGGAGGGAAAAAAAGAACCAACAAAACAAGCAGAAAGAGGAAGAAGAGGGAGGGAAATGGGTTTGGTGAGAGTGAGAGTATAAAGCAAGACGCTACAGCGCAACCTACAACAAAAACAAAAGCGCATGCATTTCAGAAACGTAGCACAAATTAAAAAGGAAAAAAAAAAATTGCATTTCATTTTTGGAGTTATTCGTTATTCAAAATTAGACACAGACAGACAAAACCATTTAAATTAAGCCAGCCAGTGAGTAAAAAGAGAAATAGGAGAAATAAAAAAATTAAACATGCATTCAAACTTTCATATAATAGAACATCACACTTCTTTCCTAAAAAATATATATATTTTTTAATAATGTAGCTATTTTACTACAATTCATATGATAAAAAAAACAACAATTCAAATGCTAATGAAAATTGACAAAATTTTCAAATATATATGGACTACAAAATATATTATAAATATTTAAACACAATAGCACACCTAAGAAGCTGAAACTGATTAACCCCCTCTGCTAATAAATCTGCTGATTAGTCATAAAAAATATCATGTATAAAAATCTTACTGGTCCTAAAAATAGGCTTCATTTTCTTTATGCAAAATATAATTTCTTATTACCAGGGTTGTTACTGTTATCTAAAACTAAAACTCTTAACATTTTAATTTAAATAATCTGAAA